GGAGCAGCACATAACAAATGTAATCTTATGTGTAAAAAACCAAGAATACTACCAGTTATATTTCACAATCTTCAGGGTTATGATGCTCATTTGTTTATAAAACAACTTGCTAAAATAGATGGTAAACTTGAATGTATTCCATCTACTGAAGAAAAATATCTTTCATTTTCTAAAGTTATTAAAGTTGGAGAATTTAAACATATTAGTGGTGATGTTTTACCAATAAAATTTGAAATTAAATTTTTAGATTCATTTAAGTTTCTTCAAACATCACTTGCCAATCTTGTATCAAATTTATCATCAGATGACTTTCATAATACAAAACATGTATTTAAGAAAAATACATCACTATTAACTAGAAAAGGAGTTTATCCTTATGATTATGTTTCATCACTTGATAAATTATCCGAAACATTTTTAACCACCAAAAGAGGAATTTTATTCAAAACTTAATGATTAAGATATATCAGATAAAGATTACCAACATGCAATAAAAGTGTGGAATACATTTGGATGTAAAACAATTAAAGATTATCATGATTTATATCTAAAGTCTGATGTTCTACTATTAGCAGATGTATTTGAAAACTTTAGAGAAACTTGTCTTAAACATTACAAGCTAGATCCAGCTCATTACTATACATCTCCAGGTCTGGCTTGGGATGTATGTCTCAAAACTACAGGTCAGCATTTAGAGTTATTACATGACTATGATATGTTAATGATGTTTGAGCGTGGCATTCGTGGTGGAATTACACATATATCAAAACGATATGCAGAAGCAAATAATAAATATATGAAAAATTATGATCCTGAAAAGAAATCAACTTTTATTCAATATTTGGATGGAAACAATCTTTATGGATGGGCTATGTCTCAAAATCTTCCAACTCATGGATTTAAATGGATGAAAGATATAACAGTGGAAAAGGTATATAAAATTTTAGATAAAACAAATCATAGTATGTCAGATAATGGAAAAAAAGGATATATATTTGAAGTTGATTTGGAATACCCTAAAAATATATGGGAAAAACATAATGACTATCCTTTAGCGCCGGAGAAGATGATTGTTAATGATGTTGAAAAACTAATATGTCATTTTAAACCCAGAAAAAATTATGTTGTGCATTATCGAAATCTTAGACAATATCTTGAAATGGGTATGAAGATTACTGCTGTAAATAGAGGAATATCATTTTACCAATCTCCTTGGATGGAACCATATATTAGAAAAAATACTGAAGTTAGAAAAACAGCAGCTAACAATTTTGAGAAAGATTTTTTTAAACTAATGAATAATAGTGTATTTGGTAAAACAATAGAAAATATAAGAAAACGACAAAATATACATCTTATTGATAACCGTAAGAAAGCTCTCAAATTATCAAGTCGTCCAAATTTTGATAGATGTACAATATTTGATAGCAATCTTATTGCAGTTCATATGAAAAATACTGAAGTGTATTTTAACAAACCAGTATATGTTGGTCAATCAATTTTAGATTTATCAAAATCTTTAATGTTTGATTTTCATTATAACTATATCAAAAATAAATATGGAAAAAAAGCTGAGTTATTGTTTACAGACACAGACAGTCTAATGTATGAAATTAAAACGAATGATTTTTACAAAGATATATGTCTTGATGTAAGAAATAAATTTGATACTTCTGATTATCCATTAGATCATCCTTCTGGGATAATTACAGGAGTTAATAAAAAAGTAATAGGGATGTTTAAGGATGAAGTAGCTGGAAAACAGATAACACATTTTGTTGGGTTGCGACCAAAACTTTATAGCTATAAAGTTGAGGATGAAAAAGAATTAAAGAAGTGTAAGGGAATAAAGAAAAATGTAATAAAAAAGAAATTAGATTTTGATGACTATGTTAAATGTTTGTTTACTGGTGAAAAAGAAATGAGATCTATGAAAATTATAAGAAGTGAAAATCATGATATATATTCTAAAGAGGTTAACAAAGTAGCTCTTAGTAATCAAGATGATAAAAGATGTGTATTAAAAGACTTAATACATACTTTAGCATTCAGATAAAAAAAATTTAAAAAGTAAATACACTTAAAATAATAAATGTCTTACACAGAGGAAGAAATAAAAAAATATTTAAATATATTATCTAACTATAAAAAAAGCTTACAACAATTTAAACTAAAATCTAAATGTAAAGGTTGTTCAAATACAGAATCTTTTTCAACATATTCAGGCTACAATATGTGTAATGAATGTGGAACACTTAACGGACATGTTCTAGGTCAATTTGATGTAAAAGATTTTGATAGATTATACTATCGAAAAAAGAGTATTTATCATAGGAAGTATTACTATGATAAAAAGGTTAAACAGATTTATAAATTAATAAATCTTAATGATGAACAAAAATGTGAACTTTACAACAGACTATTAAAAATAGATAATTACATTATGGAAATACTTAACAAGCAATATTTTAGAAAGAGAATGATAAACATTAATTATTTAATCAAAAAAATTTTGGAGGAAATTGGATGTGAAAAGTATAAAATTATTAAAGTTAAAATAAGCCCTCAAACTTTAGAGATTTATGATAAGTGGTGGGAAGTTATAAAAAACTGATAAAATAATTTTATATTAAAAAAATTTAATATAAAATTTAATCTAATCCTTTATGAAAAATCCAACATAAAATACCAGTTAGATAACCAAGTACTTCACTATTTATTGGGGAATCAAATACGTATACACATCCTCGTCCAATTTTATAATGATTGTAAAAAGATTTAAAAGCTCTATAAAATATTAAATGATTATTAAGTACTCGACTATTAGATTTAATAGGTAAATTATTTAGCTTATATATTATTGTTTCAAGTGTAATATATTTTTTAAAAGTAGATTCGTATAAGAATCTATATATTAACGCTGTCTTTATAATATCTTCTGAGTATCTTATCTTTTTGAGTGTAGGGTAGTAAAAGTTAACGTAATTAACAATAGTGTTTATCATTTTATTAATAATATATATAAAATTAAAATTTATAATAAAATGCTTATTGAAATCAATCCTAGATCTTTATATTGTGAAATTTTATTTTTAAGGAAAAAAATAAAATGTGTGATGTATTATATGTGTGTTTTATTCTTTTTTTTTAAGGTCTAAATGGTAATGGTAATGTTGGTGTTGGTTTTATTAACTCGTAACTTTTAAGACTTTTTTTTGGGTCTCGAAAATCTGTTTCTTCTGGTTCTTCTTCTGAAAGTTCTATTGGTTCTTCTGGTTCTGGTTCTGTTTCTGGTTCTGGTTTTGGTTCTACTTTAACTTCTTTAGACAAGCCATAATTCCATGTAGTGTAATAAGAGCTATATTGTATACTATTTATAGATTTACCCAAAAAACTATATAAAAATTCCTTAAAATCCTTAGACTCATTTATTTCCTCACTTACATTTTTAAAAAATTTAAAAAATAGGTGTGATTCTACATTTTGTAGTTGATCCAAAATCTTATCTGATGACTTCTTACTAAATTTTAAGTTATGTCTGTATTCATAAATAAAAGAAAGTAATGCATATTTTTTTAATAACAACTTTTTATAAGTATCAGAGTGACTATTCATTAATTGAGGGTCATCAAAAAAATAAGATCCAGTTTCGTAAAATTTTGTATCGGGGTCTTCTAAATCGTAATAACTAAATGAAATATTTCTAGTTTCTCGTGGACCACAGTCTGCTCTTTCATATCCTATAATATTAAAATTGTAATGTAATACATGTGTAAAATCATCATCAATAGTTGGATCTTCTTCTAATTTTACATCAACTTTAAGATATAAAGTAGAATGATCATACATCATGTCTCTTATTATTTTCATAAGTTTTTCATTACTAAACACTTTTAACTCTTTGTTCATTTGTCTTCGATGGAAACTTGTGATGCCATTTTTATATAATAATTAGATAAAAAAAAATGAATTTAAGAATTAAAGAATAAAAGAAATAAATAAAGATGGTAAATATTTTAGAAAAAATGTTAATAATTGATGGAAAAAAATATTACAAACATAATGTTTTTACTAAATACGCAGCTTCCAAAGATGGTAGTATTATCAATATAAAAACTAAAAGAATAATTAAAATGATAAATAGTAACGGTTATTTATATTTTAATCTTTGCGATCCAAATCTTTCAAAACCAAAAATTTACTATCAACATCGTTTTGTTTATGAAGTTTTCAAAGGTGAAATTCCACGATTTTTTGAGATTGATCACATTAACAACATTAAAAACGATAATCGAATAAAAAATTTACAAATACTTACTAAGAAACAAAATAATGAAAAAAGTAATAATAAACCAGTCGTTTCTACAAATATTGAAACAGGAGAGGAAAGAAGATTTGATTCTATTACAAAAGCTTCAAATGAATTAGATATACACATTGTTAGTATTTCAAGTATTTGTAGAAAAATGTATAAATCATCAAAATCTAAAAAAGATGGTTGTAAATATACATTCAAGTTTTTAGCTTAGTTTCAATATTATTTTAATATTGAAAACAGTATTTTTTTTTAAATTTTAATCTTTAAATTTATTTTTATATTTAATTTCAAATCTATCTGGTTCAGGAGTTTGATCAATTATCATATCATCTATCAACTTCATTCTATCTATAAATTTTTGTTTATCCCATTCATCTCCTCTAAGTACAGATCTTAGTTCAATAAGAACTTTTTCATAAGTTGTGTAAGCAATCCGAGTCATTTCTATTTTTCTCTTGTAATTATTTTTCTTTCCTACTCCAGCAACAATTACTCCAGCTCCATTTATTACTCCGAGAACAACAGGATTAAGTGTAATTCCACCAGAAATAGTTCCTACAGCAACTAAAAATATACCAGTTATACTAAAAAAATTATCAAGAAATTTATAACTTTTATAAGACCTCTTAAAACACCAATATTTTGTATGGTAGTAACTGTAAAAATCCTTGATTGTTTTAACATCTGATTTTGATAAAGATGGGTCAATGTGATTAAATTCAAAGATATCCTTCATTTATATCTATATTACATAAGATCCATCTAACTTTTCTTGAAGCAATATTTTGTGATATTGTTCAGAGTCGGTGTCATAAAAGTTTGTAGAGAACATTATTTTACTTAACACACCATCTTGAGTTGTAAACGTAAATTCTTGTTCGTTAAAGTAACTGGCGGTTTGTAAAATTAATGCTGCGTTGTAGTTACTTATTTTAGCTTTTGTAATATTTTTGCTAACATCTTGTGTCAACCATATAACAATTTTTTTTCCATTAAAACTACTTAATAAACTAATACTTCTTATTGAGTTATTAACAGATAAGACTAGTTGATTACTTGAATTTGAATAAAATAAAGATAATAAATTGGATTTAAAAGTTGAATTTTTTTTAAATATAGAAAATGATCTATTTTTCCAATGATAAAAAACCATACATAAAGTAAATTTTTTAATATCGTCAGGAATAGAAAAGCTTATATTGTAACCATTAATATTTAGACCTTCTTTTTTTATATTATCTATTGTTTTATTAGGAATACTTATATCTCTCAAAGTATTACCACTACTAGAAGATAAATAATTAAAAACAATACCAGATGAGGTTTGACTTAATTTGTAATTAGTGGCATCAGTAAAATCAAAAACTTCTTCGAAATAATTTCTGTACAAATTATTTACAGTGTAAGGAGCTAATTCCTTTACCATTCCAACTGTTGCTGCGCTATTATCACTGTTTCGGTCAAGTTTAATATTTTTAATTGCTTTTTGATTTGCATTTATATCAACGTTGTACACTACTTCTGTTGGTTTGATATCAAATGCGGTGTGATAGTCGTAAACTTTATCTGGGTCGATATTGCTAAATGTACCCACAATTCCATAAGCAATGATGTAAACTCCTGAAAACAGTCTCGGATACGTAGATATGTTATATCCACCCCGAAGAATATCAACCAAAATGTGAATAAAGAACTTATTCCCAGATGGCAACTTCCGGAAATTAATTATTATTCTGTGGTAGTACATAACTTTTGTTAGCTTATTTGAATCGGTATATCTATGGGATAGTTTTTTTACAATTACATTTCCAATTGATAATCCTTTTGAAGTTCCTTTGTCAACACTTATTTGTGTATTATTCCAAAGATTATAATCAGTGTTGAGTATTTCCAAACATAGTGTGTATTCGGTATTTGCAGTTAGTCTGTAAAAATTAATTCCCGTCTTATATTTATATTTACCTTCAGAATTTTTGTTTATAGTCATGAAAATTACTTTGTGGTTATAGTCATGAAAATTACCTTTAGAAGGAGATAAGTCTCCTATCTTATTTATAACAAAACTAACTCCTCCATCTATTTCATCAGTCCATTGAGACCCACTTGTCATGAGATAACTAAACTCATCTTTATAATGACTTGGTTGAACTGCGGTATGATGAACTAGATTGTCAACATAACCTTTGTTTACTGCTTCATTGTCTTGGGTTGGTACACCCAGATTCTTTATTTTATTACCACCAAGGTTGACATCGGCTTTTATATCCCCACTTATTACAATTTTAGGTGTGTTGATTTCTATTCTCTTAAGTGGTTTGGTTATTGCTTTTGGTAGATCAGTGAATAGCCGACAAGTGATAGCTGTGTGATTTGAATTGTTATGGGTTCTTAGTTTTACTCCTGACATATTATAATTCCAAGACTTGTGAATATTTAATGACCAAGTGCCAGTGCGATTTCCACTTACCCAAAAATTAGAATTGGAATGAGAGTCATCTCTAGGAATAAACCACAAAAAGTCAACGTTTATATTTCGCGAACCAAATTGAAATTCTATTTTGTTAATGTATGTGTTAGCAGTTGGTTTCCACCCTACAAGAGGTTGACCAGGTGTTGATGTTGTAAAAACAAAATCATCAAATGATGAACCTGAGATATATTGTAGATACAAAGTCGTTGGCGCAGCTGGATCTGTTATAGTAAACACACCACTTGTTCCATCTCCAGAATGATGATCAAACATTTCTATTTGTTTACGAACCCATCCGCGATTAGCAGCTTGTTGATCTGTGGTGGGGTCACTGAGGTTAACTATTTTATTATTACCAAGATTAAGGTTTCCTGTCATAGTGACGGTACCATCTTTTTCCAAGTAATCACTCAAATCTGGGGCACCTGTGTTATCATCCACATATTTCTTTGTTGCGGCGTCTGTGTTTGACACTGGAGTTGCGAGACCAACTATTTTTTTGTTTCCAAGATTTAGGTTACTAGTCATTGCAACACTTCCATCCTTTTTTATAAAAGAACTAGTATCAGGTATTGAGTCGTCCACATACTTTTTCGTTGCACCGTCTGTGTCATCTGTTGGTGGTCTAAGGTTAATTATTTTTTTATTATCCATGTTTAGATTATTAGTCATTTTATTTGTTCCAGCAACGTGGAGATACTTCAAATCTGTGAAACCTAATGGTGTTGGTTGTTTAGGACCCATTGGAGCTGGCAGATTTAATATTTGTTTATTATCCATATTAAGATTTCCTTTCATTGGGTAAGATCCATCTCTGTCAAGAAATGTGTTGTCTACGTAATATTTTGTTGCTGGATCTTTAGAATCCTGTGGTGTGATAAGATTTGTAATTCGGTATGTATTCTTCATATCAATGTTTGAATCAACTTTTAGATGTGTTGTTGATGATCGGCTGGAATTATCATCAACATACTTCTTTGTAGCGGAATCATTATTATCAGTGGGTGCTCCTACATTTGTGAGTCTTTTTTTATTTATATCATAATTTCCATCTGCGGTTAAACTAAATCCAACTCCTGGAGCACCCTGAATTCCTTTAGCAAAATTATGATCAAAAGATTGTTCGTTAAATATTCCCATTTTATATAATAATTATATTTTTTAAGGGAGGGTATTAGTAAAGTTTTTTGCAATACGTTTTTTAGGTTTATCAATATATAGAAATGTAAAGGGTTTTTTTGTTGCTGATTTATACACCTCTTTGTCAACTCCTAATTCGGATGATATCCTGTTTGATTCTCTCGATGATGGAAATTTGTAAAGACAGTAGTGAGAACAATTCAATCGAATATCCTTTGGAGTTTTGTAAAATGATTGACTGAGATATATTACAGAACAATTTTTATGCCGCCCTTGGATGAAATAATCAATAAGTTGTCTCTGGTTTTTATCACATACGTAATCATCAAATATCACAAGTTTTTGATTGTCTTCGTAATCTATTTCTGACACTGGAGTTATTTCATCATTACTTACATGAATTATTTCATATCCCAGTTTATGACTTAACTCCCTCATTTTTTGAATTAGTTTTTGATACTTATCTTGTTCTAGATTACGCGCGTAAAGATAAATCTCATCGTAATACAACAGTGGTTTGATTAACATGTGATACAAAAGATTAGTCTTACCACTTCCGCCGTTTCCACAGATTAACATTCGAAACGTATCCGCCGGCATAAAAGGAAATAGCTGTTTATATTTTTTATCAATGTCATCGGTACTATCATAGTTTGGTATTTCCATTTTATCTATTAATTAAATAAAATGGATATAGAAGAATACAAAAAAACTTGCAAGAAATAAAATTGAAGCTGATGCTTTGACTCGACAGGTGAGAGATGTAATAAAAATAACAAAATGGGAAAAACAAGATGCTCGGGAAGGTTTTAAAGAGACATTTAAACCACTTATTAAATCTCAAGATAGCATTAAAAGAAGTATTGATGAGGAGCAAAACGCAACTATAGCTCAACTTAAAAAAAATCAACTTGCATTAACATCAGGATTGGAAAAAATTAATGAAACTAATTTAAGATTGGCTGAAATGAGAGAATTACCAGCTTTGGAAGGTGATTATGAAGAACCAACAACATCTAAAGCAAAATCACCTACACGTTATAACATTGAAAAAAATCTTGATAATGTTGACTTAGAAATATTAAGAATTATGGATTATCCAAGGGCAAATGATTTTTTTGATACTGACACTGAAAGACTTGGAGAAATACTTGATGAAGTAAAAAATGATGTAAAAGTTTTTACAGGATAAATAGCTGGTTTGAAGAGAAAAAAACATAAAACAGAAGAAGACGAAGAAGAAATAGAAACAGTCCTTCTGACAGGGTGCGGGTAAAAAATAAAAATTGTGCGCGATTTTGGGGGCAAATTGTGCGGGGAAAAACACCGATTGCGCGGGAATTGTGCGGGATTGCGCAATCTTTCGACCTACCAAATATTCCGTGATTGTGAGCAAGAGCTCCCTGAAAAATACACTGCCACGTACTGCATCGATTGCTCTTTCCAGTGATATAAGTTGACCAGACCTTTTTCAGCCTTAATTTATTTGAGGTATATTATAAATATAACGTGGATCAAAACTTAAGATGATGCAGTTAGTCTTGTTGTCTTACAGAGCTGCCAGAGCGCCTCCGAGACCAAAATCAAATCAGTTGAGCAATAAGAGTCATAAGATCCGCATCGAACACGTAACGCACGAACGCCAGTGTTGAGTTTGTAAATTGTAAAATTTAACCTCAAATTGTCAAAATACCTGTGTTAAAACAGTGCTCGCTATCTTTGTCGGACATTTTGAAGCTTTCTGCAATGTCGGAACACCGAAGACAAATGAAAAAAGCCAAAGAAAAGAGTCTGTAAACAAGCGGCCATCTTGGTTAACTTAGTAACCAGGCTAAAAAAACATGTGCTCGAGAAATTTACACGGCTACCAAGCTTGTCAAAGTGTGGGTTTTTTTTCGATACAGGAATACGTTTCTTAGAGCCAATTCTGTGACTAAAGTTCATATTTTTTAAAAAAACTTTTTCCCCCAAAAAATGTGAGCTTCAACTCGGGGTGCTGCTTATCTGCGAGTGCGGCTTCAGATATGCTGGTCTTTACGGTATATTCACTCTTCATTTCGTGAGTAGAAGCTTCTGTTATTTTTGTTCTTCGCTAGTTGGTACAGGGACGAAGTGATTTAGAAAAAAGAGCGATCGACCCCAATCAGACTGCAAGGAATGCTGTTCATTTCATATGCTTTACTTCAACTATATATGGTAGCTAATGCGTTCATGGTAAATCCCAGCTTCATTTCCGGTTTAGCGTCCAGCAGTGAAATTTTATTGTTATGTTAAATTGCAAGGTGCGGTTTATTAATTTAAAGGGTAAGTAAATTACAAATCTAGTTACGTTCATGTTTATTTTGCAAATGTTTTTGTTTCTTTTACAGACATAATAAAAGTTGAGTTAAGGAGTTTAGTTGTTCTTTGCTGTTCCTTTTTAAAAATATTGTGTGAACAAAAGCAACGCTTAAACGTGACACAAATCACGGAAAAAAGAGTTGTACATCAGTATTGTAAGAATACTAATAAAAATACACATACTTTTTTCGTTTGTTTTCGACGAATGTACTCAATGTAAAATACAGGTTTCATTTCAATATAGGTAACTACTTGAACGCCTTCTATTAACGGTCTGTTCCCAGCCATGCATGAAAAACCGGAGAAAATATACTGTCATCTTTGTACACAAGCAAATAGCGATGACTTAACAAAACAATACATGTAAAATGCAACGTTTACCACAGTGCTAGAGTAAGTCTTAGAAATGGTTTACATTTCTTTAAAGTCGCTTACACATTTTCGTTTAACGACAATGAAGTGAACATGAACTAGTGTTTTTTCCTGCTTTTTCTGATGTGCTGGTACACTTGCTCCACTTCTGTGAGCTGCGGGAGCACAAATGGGCTGACGCCAACAATAGTGATGGGTCCATAGAACACACACGACATGTGACATGTCTCGATGTCATCACGCACCGGCCAGTCAAAGACTCTCGCCCCGGTTGAGTGCAGAAATTTGAATTCAATTTGCGAGTCGTCTTGGCTACTGTTCAACGCTCTGCCAAAATAGAATGACTTCTGATACTCAACGGCATAGTATTGTCCTTCAGTTATGGCAGGCCCATCAAAGCAAAGAACCTCTTTCTCGTGCAGCTCAAGAATCATGTGTTTCCTGAAGTTCTGAATGCTACTGCTGGATACAACTGGCGATTGTAGCAGCAAACTTCTTGCATACAAGCAGATAAATACCCCACAGTCAAAACCATTCTGCTGCTGTGGAATATCCTGTGGAGAATTACAGGAAAAAGACCACTGAGTCAGATCAAGGGCTGCATCCAACTGCTTCAAAAGATCCCACATCTTTCTGATCGCGCTTGAAACGGTTGGCTTAATAAAGGCCCCAGCCAAGCTATCCAAAGCTACAATTTTCTTTTCCAGAGGTAGCACAACAAGGAGAAACCAATGCTTACTTTGGCCTGGATTGCACGGTACGAGAAAAACATCTTGTGCCAATATTGAAGCTTTACCCTTTAGTGCCTTTTTTACAGGCTTGCTTCCTCCAATGCCTTTCTCGAATTTTTCCCATTCAAGACTTTCAACCTTGCTCTTTGTTGGAATGTTCTTAATCAGCAGATTCAAATAGGTGTCAATTACAAAGTTATTTAAGTAGTTGTCTTCATTTCGAGCTTGGCCACCCAGAAGCGTTTCCAGGTCTTTCGTATCAACGATATTGCTGCCATTCAACTTCAGTGTACCATCAAGTAAACAGTCTAGAAGGGGCTGTTTGTGTTCGGGGAAGTTGCAAGTTGTCTCCTGCATGCTGATCTTGGAAGCCAGATTTGAATCAAGCCCATAATGCACCACGGGTTTCATATCTTGCTGGGAAACATTGGGGATAGCGTCGCGATCTTTTTTGTCACTCACGTTTGGTCTACTGGAAAAGTAACCTCTCAATGACGCTCCGAGTTTCCCACCTGAATCATTCCCTTTCTTTGCGATTTTTGACGCAATATCACTGTCATCTACTAGGGAGGTTGCATTTCGTTTCCTTGCTTTCTTGGGGATGCTTCTCTGATCTTGCACAGCTTCTTTGAAGACCGTTTGCACTTTTTCATCCTTTCCCGGCGGAGAACTTTCTTCCTGAACCGCAGAGTCAACGGTAGTGTCACTTGCCTTGGAATTGCCACGCTTGGAACTTTTTCCGCTGAGTGAAGATCTGACTGAATTTTGACCCAATTCACTTTCTTTCTTCAGGTTCTTTGGAGTAACATCGGTGGCATTTCCTGGGGGGGTTACACTTTGTTTCCTTGCTTTTTCGGTATTGCTGCCCTCTACTTGTGGAACTGCTTCTTTCCCGAATTCTTGGACTCTCAGTTCACTTGCTTCTTTTTCCTCCTGAACTGTAGACTTCACTCTCAGATTCCAGTTCAGAAAATGGAATGCCTTCATGGTGTTCTGCTCGAGTGCTCTCCGTTTCCCATCGAGAATGGCATTGTAGGCAGAAAACGACCTCTCCACATCATACGATCCAATCGTTGTAGTACAGTAGCAAGATGCTAGCTTGTACAGTTCTGGAAGGCTACTTGCCTTTGATTTCCAAAATTGCTTTACGTCTAGTTCGCCTTCATCTTTCATGTTTTTTACAGCTTGAGGTCCTATGTGATTCACATAGAGTTGCCACTCCTCTTTGGGAACAGATTCTATCCCAGGAATGCTATCAATGCAACCTTGACTACGCTCACAGTCCACAAGATTGACTGGATTGAGAACTCGAACTTGCTCTAGAAACTTTGATGCGGGCTGGGCACCATCTACCACATACTTGGATAGCTTAGAATGGGCCGCCTTGAAAGCTGCCGTGGTTACTTGAATTATCTCCTCTTTCTCCTTGCATGAGAACTTGTAGTTACCTTCAAAGCAAAAGGAGAAATCTTCCTCTTCTCCTGCGGCATTCAAACGAAGAAAATGCATCAAACACTCCATCTTCTCGTGTACCCGTGTAACATGGGGTATTTTCTCTTGAAAATAGTTCAGGTAACTCAACATGGTGGGCCCCTTAGCCTTAACTACGTTCAGCTGAGCATGGAGCTTCTTCATGAAGCTGTTATCTTCATACATTTCCTCCAGCCGGAGGAGAGAGTTGCTGGCGAGATGTCTTCCTCGCCTCAGTTCCTCGTTGAAAAACTCTCCAAACAGGAAATAATACTCGGCGTGATATAGGGCTGAGTCGAACCAAGCGCTCCAACTTTTGGTGCTTGGATTTGGCGGCATCCTTGCATTTCCAGAAATGTGCCTTCGCAAGAAATTGAGAAACCTGCTCTTTCTTCCACTTGGAACGAAAAAAAGATTTCTAAAACACTTCAGAAATTCGTTTAGTTCGGTGAAATGTTTCTTGAAATCGGAGGCCACAAGATTGACAATGTGACTGTTGCAGGTGATGTGGACAGAAAGGGGAAATAAACATGACAGGGTCTCATTGAATGCTTTCTTCATATATGCAACATTGTCGGAATTGAAGACTCGAACATTGTCAAATTCTATGTCGTACTCATTGACTGTTCTAACAATTGCCTGGGATACCGTTTTGTTGTTCGTCTCACTTAAGAACTGAGTATCAAGCAGGTATGCAACACAATTGCCTTCTGGAGAAAGTTCGTCAAAGTCAAGAATAACAGCCATGACATC